AAGAAACTTCAGGCGCTTTGTAGATTTTAGTCTACTGTGCTACATTATCTCTGTGAAGACGGGAGATGAGGATTCTGAGGCCTAAGTTAATGAATAAGGGCCAGAATGAGGAACCAAGTCCCTTGAGTCCTTGATTATTTTGAGACCAGCATGTCCTCTTTTGTGAGCCAGAAATATTTTTACATGTATATTTATTTTGGTCTAGAACCAGATTTGACTTTACATACAGGCTCACTTGCACTAAAGAGAGACTTAATGAATAAGACTAGGTCAGTGTTTTAAATTAGTAGGGTATGCTCTGAGGTAAGTCTTTCAGTGCAAACACTGGTACCCAGTGATATGAAGGAATAAAGGTACTCTCTGAATGTTTCAGAGCAAGTTTTGCCTCAGAGTGCAGGAAATGGCTTACTATGCGCTGGCAAGCCCATGGGCCGTCCATGTCAAACTTATCAACAAGGCTAGTTCACCAGCAGCTGAGCAGCAGCAATTTGAATTTCGCTTAGTAATATGAAAACTTTAACACATCATCTCAGAGGCAGCATAAACAATTCTCTGTAGTAAACAAACTGATGGTTGCCAGAGAGGTGGGTGGGAGGTTAGGCAGAAAAAGGGAAGGAAATTAAGAAGTACAAACTGCCATTATAAAATAAGCCACAAGGATGTAATGTACAGCATAGGGAATAGAGTAAAAAATATAGTAATAACTATGTGTGGTTACAGATGGTTATAGACTTATGGTGGTGATCACTTTGTAAGATAAATAAATGTTGAATCACTGTGTTGTACACTTGAGACTAATATGATATTAGTATAATATAATAATATAATAAATATAATATCGTGTGTCCCGTATAATTAAAAATTTAAAAATAATAAATAAAATAGTTGATAAAAGACAAAAATAATTCTCTGTTGTTGCCTTTAAATTTATGCAATTAATTTTAAGCCATTTTAGTTGACATTTTAAATATCTGGGCTGGTGAGACAGAAACTATTAATAAAGAGTTGCTTTATTTTAATATAATTTTCTGGTATATATTAAATAAAAGGAAATACTACATGCTATGTTGTTATTTAGTATTATGGTTTGCACTTATTGTGACTCTGCATTGTATAGAAAATAGTAATGCTATAAGTATTTTTACATGTGAAATGCTATAACGAATTTTTGTTTTCCCTTTAACAGAGTGAACCTAGTATTTTTACAAAGTACCAGACAAAGCCCCAGCTGTTTGGAGGAGACACAAAAGGTGGAGGCTTATTTCCTCTTCCTTTGCCAGCTGGAAAATCAAAAGGCCTCTTGGAACAGTTTGAGGAGAAAAAGAAAAGGGCCCAAGACAAATGTGACAGGTATGTTGACCTTTCAAGTAGATGAGACAGTTCATCTTTTCTGAGGGAAACAAAAATGGAATGTCAGTAGTGAAATTATTCAATTTCAGCATGATATCACTCTTGCCTTTATAGCTCATGTAATAATTACTCTTTATTTGCTTTCTCATTAATGTGACTTGTGGCAGATTTGTATATGGCTGCCATAGTTTTGGCCCCTCTGAAAAGTGAGCTAAAGGACTCCTTAGAGAAATGCAATATTCAAGTGTGTTTATTCTGCCTAAAATTCTGCCCTTTAATTTCTTTTCTTTTCAGATCATCACAATTAGGAAATTAGATAACATTATTTTTGGGTCAAGAATAAAGCATATGAATTCTTAAGTCATAGTTCAGGCTGACTTTCTCACTTTGAAATGTTGCAATTTTTAGGATATACTCTAAATTTTATACATATTCTTATTTGTTAGTATTATATTTTTAAAGCAAATATGTGAGATAAATTAGGGCTGCAATATTAATTTTTAAATAAGTTGAAGTCACTAAGGAAACCAACATGTTCATTTCTTGGTAGTTAAGTTATTACCAGGGCAACATCTTTAGATATCACAAAAATCCTAACACCCAAGCAGCGATATGCCTTATTATTTCTGTGACACTGAAGATATATTGCTTAGCGTCACCGCTAGTACTTTCATGTTGGAAGAGCCAGAATTCCTTAAAGAATACCTAGATTAGGTATCCTTTCTACTATAACTATCTTCTTTTAGTGAGAAAAGCAAAA